TTTTGGAGGAATGTCATCTTTGGTGGACAAATGCACTGGATTTATGGAGGAGAATGCGGAAGAAGTTGTAAAAACTGAAGGCTTCCTTCTCCTTCCAAAGCCGGCGATGATAAGACTTGTGTCAAGTGACCAGGTGACACTTTGCTTCTATTTGTGATATTGAGGCTCTTCTGTTGTTTTTTTGTTTTTGTTTTTTTAAAAAAAAAACAAGAACAACAACAACTGAGACTGTTCTTTAAAACAAAATTTACCTAGTACTATTAAGCCCTACATTGCATGGAAAAGGTTGCAGAAATTTACATAGCCCCTTTGTATGTATCACTGCTCTATTTCACGCTAGCATTAGACAATAGATAGACAATTTATTAATAATTATTATTATTAATTACTTTTTTAATTATTAACTGTAGTCTCCTTTCTGTATACAGTTTGCAGTTTCAGAGGAGGAGCTTTGGAGAGCTGTTCTGTTGTGGGCAAAAAGGGGTTCTGGTGTCAATAAACCAACTAATCAGTGGACGGAAGAGGATAATGACAAGATTAAGGAGGTGAGACAGTCCAACCCAACGCATCAAGTATCAAGTTAAGATTAAAAAATCTATCTGTAAGGCTACGAGACATGTCGCACCACCCATATTTTTGTTGGCATGAAGTGATTCTGACAGTCCCCAATGTCTCTGAATGGGATGCTAGTCCATTCCAAGCTTTCCTGCTTCCCCTCCCTCATTTTTGCGCCCCCGCCCCGCCCCCCCCCCCCTCCCCACCCTTTCAGTCAGGTCACCCTCAACTTAAAATTTTCCAGTTTTTTAGCTATTTATAAAATACTCCTGGTTGAAGAGAAACACTGTGAGAGTAATGTGTCTCGTTGCAATCATAACTCGGGGACCAACCAAGCACTCAAAACCTGGATTGCTTACATGTTGTACAAAGTTTAATATACTAGACCAAAAAAGGACATTGCATCTCCCATGTAGTTAAGGGTAAAGCTAAAAACATTGAATTCAAGAGTACATTTATAAGAATTGACAGTCATTTAGAAAGACAAAAACTTTAAGTCGACTCCTGTCAATTAAAATTTGTTTTGCTTTTTTTATTTGGTTGTGGTTATTGGTTCATGCAAAAGACAAGTGACTGTGTTCCCAACTTTTGAATTTCTCTTTGATTAGGAGCTGTCAGGTGTAATTGAGCACATCAAGTTACTGTTAATTGACAGCAAAGTGTATGCCGAAGAAGTGGAGCCCACAGGAGTTGTACCAATGGAGGTGTCTTTAGAGAGGTAAGGGTCAATGGATTACTTATCAAGTACCATGAATCAAAATTCTCACTACTTCTTTTGGTAAAAGGTAAAGTGTGCATATGAGCCAAGTGAACCATCAGACTAGAGCATATCTGGGTTTCTGTAGCATGAAGAGACCAGGAGTATTTCTATTCTCCCCTGGATGGGATGCTAATCCATTGCAGGGCCTAACCCCCCAACATTAAATTCTCTGGTACCCATTTATACAGCTGGGTGGAGAGAGGCACTGTGAGTGTAAAATGTCTTGTCCCTCAAACCCTAAGCGCTCGATCCACAGATGAGTGCACTAACTAGACCACCACGCCTCCACACGAGCTTCTCGTGCTATAACTCTTCTTGCAGGAATTGAGTTTGATCATGACAATGCTATTATTTTTGACTTCAGGCAGACATAATTGCATGAGAATATAACATGTGGAATGTATACCTTATGACCACAAACCTGATTTTTAAATCAAAATTATGTGTATCGTTTACATTATTTTTCTGCAATAGCTAAATAAATTGAAATAATTTATATAATATTCATTGACATTTTATTGTTTCCTAGTAAATTAATTCCTGGCAATTATGTTTCAGTTCCTGGTAAATTTATGCAAAACATTTCTTGTAGCTCCCAAAGTAAAATAATTTATTAGTTAGGAGTTGTTATGCCTCTCTAAGGCAATGAGTAGGCTGTTGGTCTCAAATACAATCACAGTGCTATGCATAGCCTGCAGTGCAGGCGTCTTATTGGGGCGAGTTAGTGTTACAACCTTGCGAGCGCCTTTTTAGACCGCCATGTTAGACCGCCATGTTAGACGGTGGGGGATGGGGGAGGGGAAAAATGAGATTTTCTTCGCTNGATCAACTGGTTGAAATAGAAGGCATCAAGATATCAAAATTTGCAAATTAAAAATAGTTTGCCAAGTAGCATTCATGTAGTGTAGAGTACAGAAATTATTGGTTATGTTACTAGGGTGTAATTGTGTAAAAAGAAGTCTCTACACCATAATAGCAAATTTAAGCACCATTAAGGTGATCATATCATTCTATGTTTTCTTTTAGGTATCGATTTGCAGCAGTGCCCACTCATTTCAGAAAAGCTGAAGATCCTCGTCTAAGACCTAGAGCTTCTCAAAAGTTGTTTCACAACACAAGTCTGTTGTCAAAGGATTGTCTGAAGTTTCAACATACACTGAATGTTTGGTTTGGAAATGAACAGCAAGAATGGCAGCTGTTGTACAGAGCTTCAAAGGATGGATTCTCAGCTGCGGCATTTCATACAAAGTGTGATGGCCTTTCACCAACAATAACAGTTGTTCTGGTGAGTAATTAATTAAGTAATTGAAAGGCCACAAGCAAGAATGTCCCCAAGGTTTATGAGTCATTGTTGAAAGTGCTCAAAAGTATAAACTGAATTTTGGCATGTGGACTTTTGTTTACTTGAGAAACATTGCCCTGATTTTTTTCCCACCTGTTGGCATTTTGTTTTTGGGAAATAACGGATACAAAAACTTCAAATTTTGTAGCAGCTTTCTTTGCAATGCTTTTCAGTTCAAGGTCTTAATTAACTTTCATTGTTGACTGTCAAAAGCACGCTTCTCTTTCAATTGGCTACTGGAAACTATGGAAAAAGTTTTGCATGTTCATCCCATTGCAGAGAAAGAAAGAGAAAAGGGACATCTATTTCTGTCAATGTGTTAATTTATGAGCAATAATGTTCATTATTGGATGAGGTTTTTGTGATATTCGGAATAATCTAGGTCGAGGTAAGTGTTATCAGCAGAAGCCGAAGGCTGAGGCTGATAACTCTAACCGAGACCTTGATTATTTCAGATATCGCAAAAACCAAATCTCATAATTGTTTTAATACACATTGTTTTAAAGAAAATAAGGACAAACGCATTATCGCACCAAACACAGTTTATTTTCGACAAGCCATGTTCTTACGTGAACTTGACTTTGCTCTTGGATATCATGCATTGCGTGTGCAATTTATAGATTATTCACTAATGTGCTAGATTAGTGAGTAATCTGTAGGTTGTGCTGTTTCCCAGAATTAACTGTAGGCTTTTAGCCAATGAGAAGACAGATGGTGACTACAAATGTAAAATAAATATCATGATATGTTATATGAGTGATGCGATGTGATGCAATGAGATGTGATGCATTTACAATGTGATGTGATGTGATTTGATCTTTTTTCCTTGACATCTCACAACAGAACACAGCAGCCCTGATAATATCATTAAATATTTACAACTATACCCAAACAAAACAGTCATCTCTTTCTCAAATCAATTCTAAACTAAACCTGGTATGTCCACTGCTCACTATTTCAGGGTACAAATGGAAATTTATGTGGTGGGTTCAGTGATCAGCCATGGCGGAGTGATATTCCTCGTGGAAAATACATGCCATCCAAAAGGTGGGAAAATATGCAATGAACACCCACCCATGATTTGCTGAATCAGCTTAACCGCATTTATTTGTCTGCATACAAGCCAAGTGGCCCATCAGGCAGGAGCTTACACTAGTTTCGGTAGCATGAAGCGACTAGGAGTATTTCTACTCCCCTCTGAATGGAATGCCAGTCCATCGGAGCGTTAACCCAAGCATTAAATTTGCCGGTAATCATTTATACACCCGAATGGAGAGAGGCACTGTGAGAGTTAAGTGTCTTACCCAAGAACACAACACAATGTCTCAGCCATGGCTCAAACCCAGACTGCTCCATCCAGAGTTGAGCCCACTAACCATGAAGCGTCCTTAACATAATTTCCTGTAATTAAACTCTGAAGTTATTTACTTTTTTTGAAAATCAGTCATCTTTTTAGTCAAGAAAGGTAGTGAGCTCAATCTGAAGCACACTTTGGAAAAATATTATACAAAGTATCATGAAAATATCACAATGAGCAGTTTTTACCTCGTGGTGGAAAAAATCTGATTAACAAGAAATCTTCAATCCTCCTCATGATTGTTGAAACACTATGGTTTTCTCAGATTTTTTCCCAGGCTCTCCACCCATTTACAATGCAGCCTGGGTGGATCCACGATTTTTCATAGGGGAGGAGGGGTGGCTGGTACCTTGGGGCTGCAGAATCAATGGGGCATGCCCCCTAAAATTTTGGAAATATTATTTGAGAATGTATGTTTTTTGGAACGTAATTGAAAACTGTTACACCAGAAATAAGTCAGCAATGCCACAAAGTAGAAATTACGATGAGGTTACCTGTCCAGAGCTTTTACCTTTATTTCTGCCATAGTATCTGGTACCTAGTATCCACATTCTTTTTCAACCTTTCTAAGTTCTTGTTTCTTCAAAAGGAGGGAGGGTGGCTAGCCACCCAATCCTCTCCCCTTAAATCTGCCCCTGTTTGTAGTTTACCATTTTTTAACATCAAAAGGGGAAGGTGGCGTTGATAGATGGGTTATTGACCAAGTGTGAGATCAAGATGGCTGGATATTGGCCAAGTTCTTTTTTTGCATGTTTATGGACCGAGACGGAGACCAATATACGGCCATCTTGCCTGAGCAAGCTTGTTCAATAAAGGATTTATCATATGGCTTTCGAGAAAATTTTTCTTCCGGGACATGGCGGGCAGTCCCAAACGGGCAAGATAGCTCCATCTTCTCGCTCGGGTAGGATTTGATTCATCTTGCCCACTCACAGAGCTTGCCATATAATAAAGGTATTTAAAGGTCATTTATAGACTTCCACTGGGGATTTCATACTTAAATATGTTGAATGTTGATGCACATGATCATGATTATATTGACTGAACTGCAGGAGGGCAACTGGTTTTCACAGGTGGGCAAAACTATTAGAACTGAACTTCTTTGTAAGAAAAACTTTCCACTAGATAATCAAACCAGCTGGGCAGAATTGTCCTCAGAGCTGGTAAATTTGCCCCCTTAAAACAAGAGGTCAATTGAGTTTGTTTTGTTTAATTCTTGTTAGGGCATTCTTGTTTACGTTGATCAACTCTGAAGGCAGCCCTCCAAGCAAGTTTGACGTTACACACCCTAAGTATGCCACTCTTCATCATCCAAGGTGTGTTGCCATGAACACAAATAAATTGTATACCTTTCATTGGTTACTTTCTTAGTTACAGACTTTGAGGATTTTTTTTTTTCTTTTAGAGAAATAATATGATATAATGTTTGTTTAGATGAGGGGTCTGCAACCCCCTTCCTACTCAGGTAGAACGCTTGCATTTAAATTTACTGAGTCTAATCTATAAATTCAATCACATAAGTATTAAGGTACATTAATCACCCCTGTCATTTTTATTTGGGAGTCCATCCCCCAATCATACCCATTAGGTCTGCACGGCAATATGCAGTACCATCATCTCAATCTGCAATTGTGTCATCAGGCTTTTTTGACAAAAAGGATCTTGCAGCAAAGAAGAGCCTGTGTTTCACTGGTTGTTTTTACGTTGATTATGGAATTGGCAATAAGTCGCACAGGCCAACAATACACTCTAAGGGTTCTGTACATATTGCTTGCCTACGATGCTTTGTTAGTTCTCTCTTGGAAACGAGAAGTAACCTAGTGATTTAGGGCACTGGTTATGAAGTCTGGAGTGGTCCAAATCCTTCATACTGCCATTAACTTTATTTTCTTTTAGTAGCTCTGAGTTTAA